GCAAGAAAGCTCTATTTAGTTTGTTCAAACCTCGTCACACCAATGGCCAGCCAATTTCTCTCCTTGAAGGATACACAAAATTCCAAGATCTGAAGAGAGCCAAAGATCTTGGGACACAAACTCTCATAGGCGCTTCGCTGGCGCCATATCGGACGTTGTCGGGGTAGGGAGACACCAGAGAGACATTATTCCAACACGACATCACCGTCACCACCTCGTTGATGTCATCAGGAAACAATACATGAGATGAAGAAAAACATAATGGATGGATGGGTCCCCGCTCCTCCTACCGCCGACGAGGCCGTCAAACGGGCAAGAGAAGTGGACTGATGCAGCGGCACGGGGGGAACTTGGTGGCGGCAGATGCTACGTTGGACAGGGCAAGCCTACATTTGAGTGTGCGTAGTTTGGCAAAGCAAGCAAATAAGCAAAGGCCAACGTTGAGTTCCCTATAGACAAGGTATCTAAAATTAGCCTAAAATGTTTCCTTGCCAAACTTTTAGGTTTTGCAAAATTTTGAAGTCAAACCACTGAAAAAGGTTTTTCTAGAGACCTATAGGCGTGTCGGTGCTTGTAGTTAAAAAAAATTGTTTAGTTTTTTCTGTACAAAAAATAAGTTCAGAGATTGAAATGATGTCCATGTTAATGGCAAGATAAGTGGTGTCAGACTTGAACACGTACGGCCGCAGGTCGATCCGAATCAACTCGCAATTCAACCTAGAATTGACTACGGAGACACTCTCTATTTATGCAACTTCATCGATCGCCCTAGCCTTCGTCGCTCTCCATCGATCGATCGGCGCCTTCATCTCTCTCCATCGACCAGCGCCCTCTGCGAGTCCAACAGCGCCCGCCCGGCTCGCCGGCCAGATGGACGGGACCGACGGCAACGTCATCTGCTTCCCTTACGACGTGCTCCTCGACATCCTCAGCCGTCTCCCCTGCCGCCCACTCGTTGAGTCCCGGCGTGTCTACCGCACGTGGCGCGCCATTGTCGACGCCCACAAGCTCCTCCTCCCGCACTTCTTCCCCCGGGGCCCGTTCCCCGGCATCTTCACCACCAACTACGGATGCGCCAATAAATCCTCCTTCTTCGCCCCGTCCGCTCCCGCACCCGCGCGTTCAGAACAACTAGGTGGGGCTTACGACGGGGCTGTCTTCCGGCATCCTCTCTTTCGGCACGACACCTTCTCCGTGCTCCACTGTTGCAACGGCCTCCTTCTCCTCAAGAACAGGTTACGACATCATCTTTATGTGTGCAACCCGGCCACGGTGCGAATCGCTAGCCTGCCGCCATTGCCAGAGAAGGAAACGTGGCCATTTGTCGAGGGCATGTTCCTCGCCTTTGACCCGGCCGTGTCGCGGCACCATGAGGTTTTCCTCCTTCCAAAGGGAAAGATCCTACCAGAGGGAAGGACCCGGCCACAAACTTGGGTCGAGGTTAATTTGGAGCAGCTGCACTTGCCTATGTTGTTTGAAGAAGAAAACCTATCTGAAGAAGACCAAGAGGAGATAGACATCACATATCATTTTGATTATGTAAGAGATTTTAATACAACACCACCATCAGATGTGATCTCTATATCGGTATTCTCGTCACAGACCAATCAATGGGTGAACCGGGAGTTTGTACCGGGGCATTACGCCCCTAGGAAACTCTATGACATGGTGACCGCGCCACACCCAAGTCGCGTCAAAATATGGAAGTCGGCCGAGTACTGGCAGGGGTCGCTCTACGTACATTGCTGGAACCACATCCTTTTGATCCTACGCAACTCGGAGGGGGTGTACAACATGGCCCAATTACCAGGTAAAACTTGTATTGATGAATACACAAGTTGGTCAAAGTTGCTCGAGAGCTCTGTCGTAGCGAGTTACGAGAGAGGGGTTCACTATGCGGCGCACGACAAAATCCAACTAAGGGTATGGACACTCGTGGAATCAGAAGATGGTCAGGTGGAGTTTGTGCGCCTGGGCACCTGTACGACATGGTAACTGCTCCACACCCTAGTCATGTGGACATACGGTCCTGCATAACTCAGACTCAGAGGAGCATACGACTGTATTTTGCAGCGCAGCATGGATGCATTATTGGGTACTACCAGCCATGGAAATAGAACCGGTTGACCTTCCACGGAGTGAGCTGCTGGGCGGCTGCCGAGTAACCAAAATTTCTACATCGATCCCATCCCACCAATGGTACTTAGGTACGTAGTACGTGGAGGTTGACAGGACGAAAGATTACATGCACACATACAGCCAATGATATACAGTATTTTCAGTTGCTACGCATCATCACCCTAACAATCAGACAAAACAGCGCGCGTACGCGTCTGCTTGCGGATGATGCATCCAGGTCCAGGTCTACTTGCAGGCTAGCCGCTTTAAAATACCTTCACTCATTCACATCAGTTACTAGCTCCAACTAAACAACGCCCGCAACCGCAATATAGCAGCTAGTGTGCATTGCTTTCCTTTTTTGCTTTTCCTTTCGGGTATGGGTAGCCAGCGAGCCCTAGTTAGTTGCCTGCTGGAGCCTGATCATCCAGGAGAGATCGATGCTAAGCTAGCTGCGACTGATTTCCCAAATATTTTTTTCTAAATATAATAAGCCTGGATTATGCCCACTAGCAGTGCAATTAGAAGAAGAGGAGGAGAACAATGGCCATGCATGCATGAGAAGATTCTTTTTTTTTCTCTACAGAAGAAAGAAAATTCAAGAGGGGAAGGTGTGCACGTGTGCAGCGCAGAGCCACGCTCTCCGGCGCCAGTGGGTGACCGAACCACACTACTGCCACTGCCACCCGTAGTTTAGTTTATTCCCCTGCGTACGCGTACGGAGCGGCAACGCGTAATTAGTAAAATACAATATAAATACGCAAACAAAAGCGGCGAGAGAAGAAGATTCGCGCGAAAAGCCGCCAGCGGAGGAGGGGAGACGTAAAAGGGTGAGAGTGAGAAACGGAAAGAAAAAGAAAGAAAGGCGCCTTTTTCACCCCGGGGGGCCGCACGAGGGGCGCGCGGCGGCCTCTCTGGCCCGACGCCGGCCACCGCGGGCTGTGATTACCCGTGCCGCCGACGGGTGGGGCCGGGGAGAGGTCTGACGGCGACGTGGGTGTGCGGGTTGGGGGGGGGTTTGTGCGGCCATGATTGCATCTGCCTCACCACACGCACACGTGGGGATGGATAGCGCCATCTCATCTGCAGCCCCGCTCTGACCCAAATGCCCTCGGGTGTGTTCCCTTTGGGGGTAATTCTGATCGGATTGCCACTTGAGGTGAGTCGAGGTCAAAGAAGCAAATGCTTTTTTACCATTATCAACTCTTGTGCATTCTACTTTTGTGTTGTACACAACACCACCACCGAGGCTCCGAGAAAAATAAATAAAGAACGTGATTTACATTGTTGATTGCCGAAAGTTTTCTTAATTTGGAGAAACGAAACATGTTGCTAAACAATTGTTTTCTGCGCGCGTACATGCGGGTTCTTTGGTTTGATAAAGTAAAGTTGCTCCCATCTTGGTGGACCAAACTTATGGTCTAGCCAAGATTTGGCGGAGCGAAAATAAGATAAAACTTACGTTTCTTACCCTCTTCGTCCACAATTACTTGTCGCAGAAACGGATGTCCGTAGATGTATTTTTAGTTTTAGACACATCCGTTTCTATCCATTTCTGAGACAAGTAATTCGAGATGAAGGGAGTAGTATCAACATAAGTTCTTTGACCAGGCGGACATCAACTTGAAAACAGGGACACACGCACCATGCGGCACGCATGGTAAGCTATCTAAACCTTTTTCTTTTGAGCGATGTAAGCTATCTGAACTTGATGGGAAAAAAAATATACACATATTCTCCGTAGCATATTGTATGTGGACAAAACATTTCTTACAAAGACAATGAACAGTGTAGTACGCATAATGTACAACAGACTATAGTAACCGTTGCATGTCTAACAGGCCACACGAGCAACCGTGCAACATGTACAACATACTATAGAAGCAAACCATGCGGCATATATAATAGACCACGAGAGCAACCACACATCATGTACAAAGGACCACAAAAAGCGATCACATGACATGTGTAACGCGCTGCAAAAGTAAACATGCGGCGACGTGCGACCACCGAGTAACCACGCAACATGTGTACTGCAAAAGTAAACATGCGGCGACTTGCAACACGTATAACCAGACCATCGAGTAACCATGCAACATGTGTAACGAACTTCAAAATAATCGCGTCATGTGTATAAAAGTCATCGTGCATTTTCAAATTGTTTGACGCAACTAGTAATCGCGTACCTGCAATACACGTCGATATTTGGTAGGACATCAACTGCACGTTGTATTAGACAAGATATTAGTTTCGCGTCAATTGCATGCCTAGCAACTATATAGTACCATTATGAACAATATTAATTACACGCTAAATATATTAAAGCATTTAACGCTGGAACAATCTAAATCATTGGATTGCCATGATCTGACGACCGCGTAAACAGAAGTTTTTAAACATCCTTTCGAAATAAGCTGTGGTAGTGCATGAGATCCTTCCTTTTTCAAACGATTCGACGTAGCTAGGTAACTAATACACGCCGATATTTGGTACGATATCAATTGCAGATTGTATTAGGTAGGATATTAGTCTCGCATCAATTGCATACCCAGCGACTATATATATTTACGACATTAATTACACGCTAAATATATTAAATGAGCTTTGGCAGTGCATAAAATCCTTCCCTTTTCCATAGAGGGGGAGAAGAGAGAGTGGGAAAGCAGGCAGGGGCAGGATGGTAAATTCGCGGAGGGCTGGCTAATGGCGTGTTTGACTCGAGCAGGGGTATAAGAATCCCCTCCAGTCTAAAAAATTTCAATTAGTCTCATTCAGTAATCATCAGAGGCGAGTCGAGTCCCCTCCAGTCCCCAACCCCCTCCTCCTCGCCGCCGCCGTCGCGCTCGGATCCGGCCCCGCCTCCGCCCCGATCCCGCCGATCCATGCCGCCGCCGCAGCAGCTCGCCGCCTGATCCCGGGAGGCGGGAGGGAGGAGGGAGGAGCACCGCTCGTCCGGTCGGGGAGGCGTTCCCCTGCGCCGGTCGGGGCGGAGGGGAGATCCGCCCGATCCGCTGCTCCGGGGTCGCCTGCTTCGGCGGTGAGGAGCCCTGTGCCTTGCCTCGACTGCTCTTACTCTGCTCTTGCTTTTGATTTCGCTCTGGTCTCTGATTCGAATCTCCCTGCCCGTCCAGTTCGTCGGCTGCCGATCGATCCCGTTTCTTCGGTGGACTGACCCGATGGAGCGCGGGAGCGAGATGAGGCCCGTGCACAACAGCGTCGACACCGTCAACGCGGCCGCCGCCGCCATTGTCACCGCCGGGAGCCGCAGGCAGCCCACCGTGGAGCCGGTTCGTGCTTCCACCCCTGCCCGCTGTGTGAACTTTTGTTACCGTCCATGTTGCTGCCGCATCGTATGGTCTGGTCGGGTCGTTTAGCGGGCTTGCTCTGATCGTTATGCTGCTGCGGTAGAGTTCATGATTGTTTAGTAGATGCATCGTTTGTGTATGCATTTTCAAGTGAAATCGCTGGTTTGTGCTGCCTCTTTGAGTCATTTGCCTCGACGAGAGCTTAGTATGATGGTGCATCCTGTTATCACCCGGTCGCCAACTCACATGTGCTTGTGATTGCATAGATGTGCTGCCTGGTACCTGGTTGCTGTGTAATAGTAACTACTTAGGTGTAATAGGTACATGTTCTGTACAGCATCAGAGTTCAGTTGGGAAACACATGTTACAAAATACGGACTCCATGAGCGAGTTAGGACGGGGGATTAGTTACACAGGTTAGTTGTGCGCTTTGAAATATAGTTGCATTCTAGTACATCACTGCGGGCAGGTTTGCTTGCTTCACCTTCACTAAGTTGACTTGTAAACTTTGGATACATTGTTTAGCAATACATGGTGGTGGGCAAAACTGATAGGAAATCAAGTTTTGCACCTGCCTGTATTTTTTTGGGGAGATGTAATTCATGTTTTCTCTTCAGAAGATTATTTATACCGTGTGCCACTTTTGGCGTCGGATGAAACAAACTATCAGCACTGAATACTTGCATGGAATTAACGGGCATAGTTGAAACGGTCTGTTTGAATTCTTGAGAGGACCAGATGGGACAAAAATATTCTCTCTTAGCTGGTGCTATGCCACCAGCTATTATTTCTGTTTTTAATCCCTGGCGTTAGTTACTCCCTTTTTTAATGCATGGCCTGCTGTTTAGGCATTCGTCCTGTTATGTTAGTTAGTCACAGTTTTTGTCTGTTCATGAAAAAAATTAAGGTAATGTGGTGCACCTATGATTGCTACTCTCCAGTACTTTTAGCTTGGACCACATGAAACAAACAGTATTCCTAGTGTCTGTTTTCTTATAATAGCAGCCGGCACTTGCTGATGTGAGATCCCTTGGTAGTGGAGCTATGATTTTAACCCTGTGGCTGTAAGTGGTGACTAATAACTACATAAAAGGAAACAAGTATGTGGTATCTATACGTTACAGTTGTGGCTGGAACTATGGTTTCTCCCTTGTTTACTCTCCATCGGGCTGAGTGATCTGTTGTAATTTTGAGTGACTTGTATGATTTACTTCTACTATTTTTTTGGTTAGTTTCAGGCTAAGCAGCATGATGTTTCACTTTTCTATCTTTCATCACACTCATGACTGCTTTGATTTTTACAGTAATTGTGTAGCATAGTTCGTATATCGTCTTCTGGTTTCTTAGAGAAGTTGCATATTGTTGTTGATTATACTGAGGAGCCAAGGGAGACAATTTAGTATAGAATGTATATGTCTGAGAAAAGTGTACATGATCCTGATTATACATAGGCATTGAACTCTAAAGTTCATACTTTATTAATGTGCCTTGTTTATTTATGAACTTTTTATGCTGCCACATGCTATATCCTTTGTTTAAAGAAGACTGCATAATGACAGCTCTTTGTTTCTGTACTAATGAGTAGCAGTATTGTTCATTTGCAGAGAAGGAAATGGACTGATTGGTTGAGCGCATACTTCTGCTTTGGAGCTCAAAAGAATGACCGGCGCATCAGCCATGCGGTCCTTGTCCCAGAATCTGCGTCTCAGAGGATAGATGCACCGGCACCAGAAATTCCAAATCATCCACCTCCCCAGGTCTTCCCCTTTGTTGCACCTCCATCATCGCCCGCCTCTTTCCTCCAATCAGGATCTGCATCTATTATACAATCACCAATGGGCCCTCCATCTTTTTCGCCTCGCTCGCCAAACTCTCCGTCACCCACAGGTCCTCCATCCATCTTTGCTATTGGGCCATATGCACATGAGACACAGGTAGTCTCCCCTCCAATCTTCTCGGCCTTCACAACTGAACCTTCAACGGCTCCTTTCACTCCCCCACCAGAGTCTGTTCATCTGACAACCCCTTCCTCGCCTGAGGTGCCATATGCAAAGCTTCTGACTTCACTCAACAGCAGCAAGAATGGGGAAAGGGGTGAACTTCACTCATACCATATGTACCCTGAGAGCCCAATAGGGCGTCTCATATCTCCAAGCTCTGCTTGTTCTGGCACCTGCTCCCCATTCCCTGACCCTGAGTTGCAGACTTCCTCACAAAGCACTTTCCCCTCCTTCCCAGTTCGTGAGCCCCCAAAGATCCTGGATGGCAAGGGCATTGCTACACAGAAGTTGATACCTCGCCATATGAGGAATGGCGGCTCCCTTTTGGATGGCCACATTACAGCAGCTGTACCAGTCGTGGACTTCTCTGCAAGACTTCAAAACAATGATCATGCTATGGATCATCGGGTCTCATTCGAGCTGACAGTAGAGGATGTTGCCCGCTGCCTGGAGAAGAAGACCGCGATTTCTGGAGAATCTGCTGCATCATCTTTCCACCTTCCATCCAGCAACACGGGCGATCACTCCAGAGAATCCAATGAGACAAGGGCAGGGCTCTACGTCGACGAAACATATCATGACCTGCCTGAGAAAGCACGGCGCTCCCTGTCCCTCCGTCTGGCCAAAGAGTTCAAGTTCAGCAACGTCGACGCCCCTCACGTGGAGGAGACGGGCGCCCTCGGGTCCGACTGGTGGGCGAACGAGAAGGTGGCCGCGATCACAACTGAGCCAAGGAAGAGCTGGTCCTTCCGTCCAGTGGCGCAGCCAGGGGTCAGCTAACCGCCGCACTGACCATAACCTTACAACAGGAAGATACAAGTTTCTTTTTGCTTCTTTTGCTCCTGCAATGCAAACAGGAAGACACCATCATCTCAACTGCAGGAGACGCCAAAACCTATGCAAACATTCAGGTTGTAGTGGCAAGTTAAAGGTTAGATTATAGTGGTAAGTAATTCAGTGTCCAGCTAATCATCATTCATATAAAGAACCCAAAGGTGGTGATGCAGATCCTGGAACCCTCCCTCCATGTGTTGTTGATGTTGTTGTTATTGTCGTCGTCGTCGTTATAAAACCAAACCGCAAATACTTTTACCGTTGTAGCAGCGTGTGTTGTAATCCTGTTTTTAACTCACTTGCTAGCTGCTGTTGGACTGATGATGCTGTTTATGTACATAATAAACCTAGCCAGAATTGTAGAACTGTTCCTCTCAGCGGCATCGTCAGATGGAGCCATATTCTACCCTGATGCTCATCACAGATGACAAATTACTATTTTGTTGTTCATCTGTGTAGCTGGCTGATTGATTGGAGCCAGCATCAGAAAGCACTACTGTGATGTTCATCGCATGAATCTTCTGTGCCTGTTGGTGTGAATATTGAAATTACAACGAGAATCATGTTATCATCCAGGCCGTGACTTGGTTGAACCATGTCGTTTCTGATGCCAATATTTTGCCTGGCACCATCCAAGGAATGCACAGAGGTCGGCAATGGAGCTGATGTCAATATTTTGCGACGGTGGCGAGCAATTTGGCTCTTCAATCTAACTTTTTTGCGGTGTATAAGTTGTTCTGCTGCCCTTCGGAAGAACCCGAGTATATAGGACCAAAAAGACAGAAAGAAAAAGAGAGATCCTGAAAGGGGCCTTCCCCCTTGGAGAAGTCTGCAAATCTCTAGCCGGAAGCTACTACTGTCTGACGCATGAGATGGGCCACCAGAGATCATCTGGAGATCACGAGACAGTTTAGTAAATAGACGGGCAATAATCGTAGTAATAACTAAATATCATGACCCCGAAGATTCATCAAGGGGTGCCGTTACACCACAACATCAGTCTCAGCAAGTTAAAAGGAGAGGGAAAAAAAAATCCATGTCTTCGAAGAAGCAAACAACAATGGCAGCAACAGCAACAACAAAAATATGCGGATGACGACGAGTTC